CAACAAGTGTTCCATATAAGTCATTGCTATAGTTGTAAGCCAAACCGACTGGTTGTACCCCTTCAATTCTTGTTGGTTTCTTAAATTTTCTCAAGTTTTCCATTTCTTCTATCCAATTTTTATCGAGCTTGCTTTATAATTAATTGATGAATGAATCAAAATCTTAAATTTATTAGGAATTTATCTAAATGGTTGACTGGGCATAACTTAAATTACCATCTTTCGTCATAGGCTGGGAAAAATCTGCTACCCGTTACTGCTTGGGGTTTATTTGCATTTTTATCCCACAATGATTTTTTGATAAAATTCTCCAACATTACGAATAAACCACTGAGTTGATTAAGCCAGAAGTGATGAGTTCTAAGCAATTATTTGCTTGCATACTTCCTATATTTATAATTTATAATGAATAAATTTGTCGATCATAGTTTTTGCGATACGAATTGATTTGATATTTCATTCATTCGATTTTAAAAGTATTTATTTTTTGTGGACAATAATGGTGTAATTGGTGCTAAAAAATTGAAGTAATGATCATAAGCTAAAAGACTAAATGAAAATTTCAGAAATGGCTGATAAAAATGAGATTAATCTACCCCGTGGCGCCATCAAAAAAGCATATACGGCTAAGCCATATTATGAATTTTGCCCTGAATGTCGGGTAGGTTCTTTGCAAGTTTCGCTGATAACGAATTTTCTGATTATTTCTGGTTTATATTTCTTGTAAGACTATAAAGCAAGGAGCAATTCTCAGCCTTTAAAAAATTTACCGGATAATTCTCTCAAATTCTTCTTCTTTTTATTTAAGTAATAAATAATAATTGAAAGTGTAGTCAACAAAATTTGAATTTCTTTCGTCGGTTAGTTACAATAGTTAATAAGATATAATAATGAAATGTGAAATTTAAATTTTTTTTCCGCAGTTAAATTTTTCTCTTCCCTAATTGAGTTCCATTCCTATAAACATTATGATAGGTTTGACAAGACTGCCGAGCGGTTTTGCTTGTGCCGTCTCGATTAGAAGATGTTTCATGCCAATTTTTTTAAAATTGACAAGTGGTTTTTCAGTGTAAAGTGGAAACTCGGCAAAAATTTATTACTGGTCGACTAACATGGATCTTCGCTATTATCGCCTTTTTATTTTTTATTCCATTAGCAGCTGTGCCATTTTTTATACGTCCATGCAAAGACGTACTTCATCACTGTCCAAATTGTAATACGTTATTGTCAATTAGGATCCGATTCTGATAAATTTTTTTTCCCTCATTTGTATTTACTTTTGTCGTATAAATAAATCCTTCGCTAGAAAATTTAGTTGCATTTTCGCATTTAATTTCCCATTTATTTTGGCAGACAAATTACAAAATTGTGAAAATTGCAAAATTAGAATACACAAAATTTGTATTATAAATATTAAATATTCAGACGCTGAAGAATGGAAGCAAAAACATTAATAAAAGAATAATTTGAGATGAATAATAATTAATAAACAATTTATTTCTCTATCTAATAC